CGCTTTTCCCTCATCTTTTGTTAAACAATAAGGTCAGGGGCAACTCCTCGCATACCGCGCCTTACGCACTAGAAACCGTATTGGGCTATGTTATCATTGGCTCCGCCCCCATCATAGATAGTATTTCGGCAACCTCTTATTGTGGTATGGCTGTCGAACCGCTCGAGTCGTTAGTCCGCAAATTTTGGGAGATGGAGGAGGTGAACGTCCCACCCATAGCTAGCTCAGATGACAGGTTATGCGAGGAAATTTACGTCCGCACGGCCGTTCGTGATCGCGACGGTAGATATAGTGTAGCGCTGCCCTTTAAAGGAGATGTTTTATCTCTCGGCGATTCGCGTCAAATGGCGGAAAAACGTTTCTACAGCTTGGAGCGTAGGATGCTCGCTTCACCCCAGTTAAAGGAAGCTTACGACGGCGTCATTAACGAATATATAAGAGAAGGTTACATATCACTCGTGGCTTCAAAATTAGATAACTACGAAGACACACCGTCGTATTTCATACCACACCACGGGGTCATTAGGGAGGACAAACTTACTTCTAAGTTACGTGTAGTGCTCGACGCTAGTGCTAAAACTAGCACTCACCTGTCGCTTAACGATATCCTCTATAGTGGGCAAAATTTACAGGGCAGTTTATTTAATATAATAGCCAATTTTCGTTTGTTTAGTATAGCACTATCCGCCGATATTCGCCAAATGTTTCTTTGCATAGGGGTCCGTGAATGCGACCGTAGATTCCAACGCATTTTATATCGTTTCGACCCAAAGGATCCTCTAATGGTGTTTGAATTTAACCGCGTTTGTTTTGGTTTAAAGTCGAGCCCATTTCATGCGTTACGCACGGTGAAACAGCTCGCCCACGATGAAGGTCCCTCTTATCCTAAAGCTAAGAGCGCAATTGAGAGCGGATTATATATGGATGATTTTGTGTACTCGGTCGATAGCGTGGAGGAGGCCACCGTAACCACCGCCGAGGTTATAAAACTCATGAAATCGGGTCAATTCGATCTTGTGAAGTGGACTAGTAATTCGCGTCCGGTTTTAGATACAATCCCACTATCACACCGTCTTTCGGCGATAAAGGAATTCGACGATTCCGATACACACAAGGTGCTCGGTCTGTGTTGGTCACCAGAGTCCGACGTGTTTAGCCTTAAGGTAAATCCGCCCGTAGAAAAATGCACAAAGCGCACAATACTGTCATGCGTTGCTAGATTATGGCACGTCATGGGTTTCGTAGCTCCGGTGGTATTATACGCTAAGCTTTTGATTAAACAACTTTGGTTATTTGAATGCGATTGGGATGACTCGCCGCCTGACAGCATTGTTCGTTTGTGGCAGCGCTTTAGAGAGGAACTTCCTTTACTAAGAGAAATTAAAATACCGCGTCATATAAACGTAGATAGAAATAGCGTCATAACGGTCGTTGGGTTTGCAGACGCCAGCGAGAAGGCTTACGGGGGCGTTGTATATTTCCACGTTCAGAATAATGGTAGAAATTCGATTAGCCTCATTAGTTCTAAGTCGAGAGTCTCCCCCCGTAAGGTTGTCTCTCTGGCGCGCTTAGAGCTTTGCGCAATATTAGTACTCATCAAGCTTATTACCGCAGTTATCAGCGCATGTAGGGATAGAGTTCACATAGAAAGGATATTTGCCTTTTCCGACTCCACCGTCGCCTTATGCTGGGCTCATTCTTCACCCCACCGTTGGGATACGTTTGTCGCGAACCGAGTGGCCAAGATCCAAGACGAGTTGGAAACGCGGAACTTTTATCACGTGTCCGGTACGGAAAACCCTGCCGATTGTCTATCCCGGGGACTCACCCCGATGCAAATAATGGACCACCCGCTTTGGTTCCATGGACCTTCTTGGGTTCACTTGGATCCCTCGCAATGGCCGATAACCGATTTCGAACCTTCGTCAGTGTCACAACCGCCGGAAGAGAAGAGACACGCTCTAGTGGCGAACGTTTCGAGCGAGGTTTCTCCAATCATTGCTTTGGCGAACCGCTTGTCCTCTTGGTCGAAATTATTGCGTAGCGTAATTTACGTTTGTCGATTCGCGAAGCTTTTACCGCGACGTTCGTATGTCTTAGCGTCCGATTACAACTATGCCGAGTCGCTAGTATTACGTGAACTTCAACGTGCGCACTTCTCTGAAGAAATTACAAGATTACAATCGAATAGTACTTGTAGTCGCGCCTTTCAACGCCTTAAGCCCTTTTTACAGGATGGGATTGTAAGGGTAGGTGGACGCTTGTCCAACTCGCAGTTGAGTTTCGACCAACGGCACCCTATAGTTTTACCGCGTAAAGACCATATCATGAACTTATTAGTCGATTACTATCATAAATTGAATTCGCACGCTGCCTCCGACTTGTTGATGTCGATTTTGCGTCAGAATTATTGGATTCTTTCTGCACGTAGTTTAATACGCAATCGGGTGCACAGATGTATAGCTTGCTTTCGGGCACGCCCCAAGCCGTCATTTCCGGAAATGGCGGAACTTAGATCTTGTAGAGTAATACAATCGGTAAAGCTCTTCACGCACACCGGGTCTGATTTCGCTGGTCCCTTTAAGGTCACGCTCACTCGCGGGCGTGGTATAAGATCCACAAAGGCTTACGTCTGCATTTTCGTATGTCTAACTACTCGAGCGGTGCATATAGAACTCGTTGGTGATCTAAGCACAGCAGGCTTTATGGGTGCATTTAAAAGATTTCTATCCCGTAGAGGCCCTGTAAGTAAATTATATTCGGATAACGGTACGAACTACATCGGTGCAAAACGTATTCTATCGGAACTACATGAGCTCTTAGCTAGCAAGTATTATAATTCGGAGTTCGCTCACATTCTAGCCGAGAACCGCATTGAGTGGTCTCTGAACGTCCCAGCCGCGAGTCATTTTGGGGGCAATTGGGAGACTAATATTAAGAGTTTAAAGAGTCACTTATACCGAGTAATAGGAGATCAAATTTTGTCCTTCGAAGAGCTAAGTACGGTGCTCGTTCAAATTGAATGCGTAATGAATAGCCGCCCACTTTGTCGGACGTTGTCTAGTGACCCCTCGGAACCGCTGGCTCTAACTCCAGCACATTTTTTGAATTTAAAGCCTTTAAAGTATTTGCCCGCCGCAGATATGGATGAGAACAGACTTAGCATTTCCGCACGCCACAAATTATTAGACCGGTTAGTGCAATCGTTTTGGAAACGATGGAGGATGGAATACTTGCATACTTTGCAGTCTCGGCAAAAATGGAACACAGCGACTGAGCCTTTAGCTGTAGGGACTGTAGTTGTGCTCACTAAGGAGAATACGCCACCTCTCCATTGGCCGTTAGGAACTGTCGAAGAGGTCTTTCCTGGTTCCGACGGAGTAATTAGGATAGCTCGCGTTAAGACCACGGTTGGGTCTTACCTGCGTCCTGTTGTCCGTTTGTGCCCCTTGCCTCATCATAATTTAAATTAGCTTTCTAGATTAAAATTGTAGTTGAATTTAGGTAATCTTAGCGTTAGTTAGTTATTTGTTAGTTGATCTTAGCTCTAGTCGTTTAAGTTATTTTTGAAGGAGATCCTTCAAGGGCGGGGGAGATGGTTGCGCGGAAAACCATTCGTATTTATTTTATTTGACGGTAGGCTGCCAAATCGGTTATCCCTTTCCAAAACGATATCATTCGTACCCTCCTATCGACACATCGGGGTGGTGGGGTGGGTGGGGAAAGAAGATGATTCTAGAACATCACGTAATCATCGGAACCGAGGATATATAAGACACGCGCGACCGACGCGTGGCTCTTCCCGCCGCGCTCGTTGTTGGAAACACATCACTAGTAGAAACCGCTTTAGCCTGGAAGCAGTCGAGCTCCAGGAAACCCGCCTCACCTCGTGTGAGATATAGTCGCGCACCGCCTCTCTCCGGAGTGTTCCAGAAGTCGCAGTTATAGTGCTCGACCGCATAGAAGAAACATCGTGGTGAGTCAACATTTTCCTAATAGTATTTTCCTGCTTGATATAGTTGTTTTAACCCGCTCCAATTTTGTGTTTTCCTAATCAAGCAGGATTCCTTTCATCGATTTGGCAAATAATAGTTCGTTTTTTTGGGAAGAGCGAGTGCATTGTACCGCATATACAAGTGTAGAAGCATTAGTAGATACAGTCCACTTAGATTAATATCTCGCGTAATAGGTTTAAGGATCGACCGGGGAACTAGACTTCGGCAGCCTTAAACACGTGGCTCCACCACTTACATAATCAGTTTCAGATGTCTAGCTTAATATATATACCACTGTTTACATTACTAGACTTAAATAGTAATAATAATAATAATTTTAGCCGTTTGGTCTCCCCTGCCGAGGGCCTCCATCTGGTTGGGCTTTTATTTATTTATGTACTTTTATATTTATTTTATGTTATTGATATTTATGTATATTTATCTTTTCATTTTCATTTATAATTATATATTTATAGCACCCAACCAGATGAGAAAACTATATAGATACCCCACAATAATAATAATAATAGTAGGCGCCAAACTTTCCACGGCTGGACGCACTACTGGACAAAGTAGTGGTATCCCAGCCTGGAGAATAAGAATTGAAGAACGTATCGCAAAGGCTAGGGCCCTCATCGGCAGACTGATATGCTTCAGGTCAGGCAATACCAGGCCAAGGATTGTGCGCACCGTCAGGATGGCGTTTGCTGAGACAAATGTTAGTTTGTCCCAGCCGGTTATAATGCAAAAACTGACGGAGCGCATGAAGCAGAGAATCAGTGCTTGGGGAAAGCGGATTTGGCGATATATCGAGAGGTCGACACGGTTCAACCAGAATCGTCTCTTCCAGAGTGATCAGAAGAGGCTCTATAAATCATTGGAGCGACCAATGGTAAGTGGAACGGGCCCAGTACCGAATCAGGTCGACACGGTCGCATTCTGGCACAGCCTGTGATCAGAGCCCGTAAACCACAACGAGGGCCCTTGAACGGAAGTTGTGGCGAGTCAGTGTGCAGATATTACGCCCATGGAGCCCGTCATCTTAACGCCGGATGACGTTGCTGAGGCGGTCCGTAGGGCCGCCTTGACGGGCTGCATCACTACTGGCTGAAGGGGTTCATCGTGTGTCACGCTGTGCTCGCCCGACAGCTTCAAGAAGCTCTCAACCAGAAGTCGTTCCCGAGTCTCTTCACTACTGGGATCACTCATTTCGTTCCTAAAGATCCGTGTGCCACAGACCCGAGCAAATACCGCCCCATCACATGTTTACCGACCATATGCAAGACACTAACATCCATTTTGAGCGCGAGAATCACTAGTCATCTGGACTCAAATCAGGTGATGTCGCGCGCTCAAAATGGATGTCGGGGCGGCGTTGGTGGAACCAAGGAACCACTCCTCATTGACGCGGTCATTGGCAAAGTGGTGAAATGCAACCGTCGGAACTTCTCCGCCGCCTGGATAGATTACAGAAACGCATTCGACTCGGTGCCCCATACATGGCTAAAGAGGGTCCTCGAGCTGTACAAGATTGATTGTACAGTTCGAGACTTCCTCCAGCAGTATATGGGGCAGTGGAGTATGATCCTCTGTCATCTAGGCGAGCGGATGACGGCTGCGGAAAGCCGCATAAGGATAAGAAGGGGTGTATTCCAGGGCGACTGTCTGCTGACTGGCTTTCTGAGCGCGCTCACCATGCATAATCGTGAAGTGTGCAGCCTCCGTCATTACTTCCTGGCGAGATCAGATGATCCATTCTATAATGACGTCATTTCTTGTGATAAAGGGTTTACCCCTCTAACCTTAGCCAACGAGCAATGGCAAGACCCAGCACTGCTTAGCATTTCCGACCGGGAGGCCTTATGGAAGGAGAAGGAGCTCCACGGGAGGTACTACAGGGCTCTACATGAGCCCTTCGTAGATACAGTCGCCTCCCTCAACTGGCTACGTTTCGGTGACCTATTCGGGAAAACCGAGGGTTTTGTCTGTGCAATACAGGATCAGGTTATTAAGACCAACAACTATCGGAGATACATCCTAAAGGATGGCTCTGTCGACGTCTGTCGAGCTTGTCGCCGTTCGGGCAAGTCACTTAGGCGTATCATCTCCGGTTGTTCGGCACTTTTTAATTCTGAGTATTTGCACAGACACAACTTAGTAGCCAGAATTCTACACCAGGAGCTCGCTCTGAAATACGGTCTTGTGGACCGAAAATTGCCGTATTACAAGTACTTGCCGGAAACCGTGCTCGAAATGACCGCGCCAGGCTCTACTGGGACCGGGCCATCATCACAGATAGGACTATTCTTGCGAATAAGCCTGATATTGTGCTGATGGACCGGGCACAGTCAAGGATATTTTTGGTCGACATTACCATTCCGTATCAGACGAGCCGTGAAAGTCGAAACAGATAAGCGAACAAAATATCTGGACCTGGCCCACGAGGTGACTGACATGTGGGATGGTCTGCCGGCCGAAATTATTCCTGTAGTCGTCTCTGCGAATGGGATAATCCCAGTCAGCCTCTCGGGTCATCTGAGGCGACTGGGACTCCGTGACGAACCGCTCCGGGCTCAAATGCAGAAGGCAGTGCCCCTCGATACCGCCCGCATCGTCCGCCGTTTTTTTTTTCCTTTCCTCCTAACCCTCAGCCGTCTGGTCTCCCCTGCCGAGGGCTTCCATCCGGTTGGATCTTTATTTATTTATGTATTTTTGTGTGTTTATTTTATTTTATTGATATTTATGTATACTTATCTTTTCATTTTAATTTATAATCATATATTTATAGAACCCAACCAGATGAGAAAACTATATATGTACATACCCCATAATAATAATAAATTATTTATTTCGTCAAACATTAATGTTACATTATATGAACAGTGATCGAAGTCACCTAGTAAGCAAAATAATGCCTGTAACAGGTGACTTCGCTCTTCCATAGCACAGAATTACAATATTATTAACGAAATAAAATATCTTAAAGTAAATAATAAAGATAATAAAAACATGATTTTATCCCACCATCAGTCTCAAAGCACTAATACATCAATAATGTAACATAAGTAGTAACCAAAGTATATAGTAGAGCAGTGTGATAAAATTTTTTTTTTTTTTTTTTTTTCTTTTATTTAAAAAAAAGAATATTGTTTACTAGCAAATGCAGTTTTAAATTTCTTAATTGCAACGACAGCTTTTCTTCTTTTTTGTTTAATGCTGTCATCGTAGGTTAAGGTTTTATGTTTTTTTTAATCTCACTGATAAGACTTTACTGATTGTGTAAAGTTTATCAGTTGTAAACCTTCTTTTTTTGAAGTGCATTACTTTCAAAAGAGCACGTTGTGCACGTTCCACCTCCAACATTTTGGTTTTATCCGTCTCTCCCCACATTGGGATGCAGTATGTTAGTAGGGACTGTGATAACGCCATAAAGATCTCCTTGATTATATTTCTATGAGAGTACTGGCTACCTGATTTCTCACCCGGTACCACATATCTTAAGGTCTTAAATATCCAGATCAGTTTCCTAACCTTGTCTGTTACTTGTTCAAGATGTGAATACCATGATAATCGTTGGTCAACTATCACCCCCAGATACTTAGTTTTGTCAGTTTTTTTAATAACGGGACAAACACAGTTAGCCAATGCGGGATAGGAATTGCAGGAGTGTATTTTGATTTCAAAATCAAGATTAGGTTGCGACTGGTCACGGATACTGTAACAAATAAAGTTCGTCTTGTCTGTATTTAAGGTAAGAAGATTAAAGCCAGCCAGCAACTAAATTCATACCTAACTCCGCTTTTTCCTTAACATCACTCCAATCTCTTCCAGTGAAAATAACAGCAGTATCATCCGCGTAGGATAGAATATGGGCTTTATCGATTTGCAGACAACAAAGATCGTTTATATAGACAAGAAAAAGTGTGGGGCCCAATACACTACCCTGGGGCACGCAGTATAATACCGTGACATCATCACTCATGAATGTATTGAGCTTCACTCTTTAAGTTCGATCCGAGAGATAACTCTTAAAAATAGACAGTGCATTGGCTCTAATACCAAGTCTTTCCAGTTTGTGTACAAGAATAGGGATAGAAACTGTGTCGAAGGCTTTTTTAAGGTCCACGAACACTGACACGCATTTATTTTCCTTGTCAAACTGTTCAGTTACAATTTGACTTAGGGCAGCTACTGCATCCTGTGGATTTACCTTGCCTGAAGCCAAATTGCATAGAAGATAGAAGTTTATACTTGTTAAGATAACTTAGCAGTCTAGTATTTATAAGTTTTTCAATTATTTTTGAAATTGCAGGGAGAATTGAAATTGGCTTGTAATTACTAACATCACCTCGATCTCCATTCTTGTACACTGGAGTAATTAAAGATTTTTTACAAGGTGAGTAATGATGGGTACGAGTTCTTTCTTTGCAAGTTTCAGGAAGGTAATAGAAATACAGTCCCAGCACGAAGCGCTACTAGATCTTAGATTCATAAGGATATTTTCTACTTCTTTTTCGTCAGTTTCTAACAGAACAAATGAGTTAATTTGGGTTGAACTATTTTTAGTAGAATGATTATATCTTGGAGAGGCATTAGGTTGTATACTAGATGCAAGTATTTTTCCTACATTTGTGAAGTAAGCATTAATGAAATTCGCTGAATCGTTAGGATTAGTTTTAATGTTTATGAGCTCTTTATTATCGTCATGCGATTTGCAACTATAAGTATGTATTTTATATTTTTCCACATAAGTTTATTATTATCTACAGATTTAGAAAGAAGATCCCTTTCATATTTACGTTTAAGTTTTTGATTTGATTATTGCAGTAGTTCCTGTATTGAATATACGTTATTTTTAATATATCGTTGTGGCTCCCTTTTCGTAGTTTTTGTTGTAAATTATTACGATTTCTTATACAACGTAAGATGCCTGGAGTAATCCAAGGCTTTATTACACGTTGACTTTTTGGGATATTTGAGTGTGTGGTGTTAGCCTTTATAGACTCACTAAGGTCAGTAATTAGACGATTTGTTATTGAGTTAGGGTCGGTACAAAATAGTAAGTCAGTAAGTTTTAATTTTGGAAGGTCTCTAAGCTTGTGAATAATCTATATTAGTTTTCGTTCTAGTTATTGGACATTTAGCTGTAGACTTAGAAAGAGAGAGCAGTATGGTAAAATGATCAGTGATTTTAGTATACAAAATTGCAATAAATGCAGATTTTTTTTTCATCAAGACAGTTTTTTCCTCTAGTAGGTAAATTATGACCAGCAGGTATACCATAACCAGAAAGTGCATTCAAATAGTTTGTTCTATTGTTGTATTCAGAAGAAGGCTCATCAGATTTGGGGGCAATGTTTATATTGGTGTGAGTTAAGGAGTCCAGATGATTGCAAAGTGAGTCCACAAATGCATCAGAATTTGCATTTGAAGGAGAGCGGTAAATACATAGTATAGTATTATTAAGCGTATCTAGCTGTAGGCAGGAAGCCTGAGTAAGGCTGACTTCTTTAACTTTATGTTGAAGAGAGTTTTTAATGAAGACAACCACCCCATCATTTTGGTTCAACTGGGATGTTGTAAAGTAAGTCTTATAATTGTCTAGTAGTGGAATAGGTTTGCTCGTAGTCAGCCTACATTCAGTTAGTACTAAAATATCAGGTATAAAAGGTAGACTAGACAGTGTTATCAGAAAATCATCAAAGTTACAGTAAATACTACGTACATTTTGGGATATAATTGTAAGGTCATATTTTTTTAAAAGTCTTGTACGATGATAGCTCATCACAATCGCATTCTATAGCACTAGCAATTTCAATCTGTCTATCACGTTCAAGTTGTATAATGAATCACCTATCATTAAAGAAGTAAAAAGAAGAGCATGTCATTCGATTTAGTATTAGTTTTTTTTTTAAAATAAATGCTAGCAAGTAGTTTGCTTGTATATTTAAAAAGTGATTTACGTAGAGAAATTATTCATGTGAGTTTGTATGTGATTGTTTTTTGCTGAGATACATGTGTGTTTTGTTTTTTTTTTTTTTTTGTTTTAATTTTAAGAATACTAAAATAACAATATTAATATAAATCTTGAACATAAGTAAAATCAATAACCGTAACAGGGACGAATGGTATAATAAACATTTTAAAATAAATATCATTAATAAATAGAAAAGAGCGAATAAAAACGACATCGTAAGAAACTTTACAAT